AGTGTAGTTAGCCTTAACTGCAGTTAAAAAGTAGTTAAAGTTAACTATGCTTTAGGGTATAGTTAACTGTCCAAAACGTAGTTAAAAATGGCGTTTGTATAGGAGTGAACAACATTTTTCAGTAAAACAACAATGAACAGCAACGCTTACCTGAGATTTTCAATCGCTATCTTCCCTGTGAATGTTTCCTGACAATATAAACTCTTCAAACGCTATCGCTTTGGTGTTTTTACGAAAACAGAACATATTTTTGCACGGGACGAATTCTCGAAGACGAAGTATGGACCATTACACCAAGAAACACTGATATATAATTGCCAAACAGCTAGACCTTTGTTTAACGTAGACATCTCAAGGAAAAACTGCATTCTTTTATGATTTTTGTGGCGGTTTTTCCTTGTTTTCTTGTTTATTTTTCACTGTTTTCTAGTGTTTTGAATAAAATTCCCGCCTATTTGCAAAATACGAGTCCACAATTATGTTGAAAATGTGTGTCAGCGGTCGTTACTCCCTGCTTACTTTATGTAATTTTGTGTTTAAACGCCCCACGCATAGTTAACTACGTGATTAGTTATAACTATCCGACTAACTACGTTTTGTGCAACGCAGTTAAGTCGTGTAGTTAACTAATTACAGTTAAGGATTTAACTACAGTGATTAACGCTAACTACAGTTAGCGCTAACTACGTTTTTATACAACCGGCCCCTGACGAATGGGGCGAGTTTATTTATAACAAGACGCTCTGCGGAGCGTTAACTCGCTGGGGCTATACAAGTAGGGTTGGGCGATATTTCGATATTTTGATTTATCGCGATATTTTCAATCACGATTATCGTATCGAAGGCAGATACTTGAGCGACGATATATCGAAATTATCGTCATGCTCGATGACTATCGTGATATTGCTTCACATTTGTATAGAGCTGTAATAAAATCCTAAAAAATTCTTTCAATTCCCTAGAAAATATAGTTTTTAAAAGAATTAAAACTATTTCCTGAATTAAATACGAATTTTATACGATACAAAAGCTAATATTTAAGTATTGTTTAATAAACGAGCAGGAGTGTTTTATTATGTTTAAAGCTTTAGACCTAATAAAACATGACCTGCGAGTTTATTAAACGGCATCAAACACGACAACAAATTCAATAGATATACTGCCTTATTAAGGCCTTGTTACACGGTGCAATTTTTCATGCAACTTGTCTCGCAATGTTTAAAAAAAGATTTTGATAATGCATTGCAAGAGGTGTTACACGCTGCAATGATATTCATGCAACTCGCAACGATACGGGACAGAGGCATGCGAAGAGAATAAGGAGAGGCGCTATTTGGCGCCAAATTTTAATTAAAGTAAAGCGTGTACTGGGGAGAGCCAATAGGAACTCTCCAAGCATTAAATATTGCGAGACAAGTTGCACGAAGCCATGTTACACGCTGCAATGCTAAAAATAATTAGTGCAATCGTTGCCAAAAGTAGAACCGACTTCTACTCTGTGCAATGCTTCATGCAACTTGTCTCGCAACGATTTTGACCATTGCAAGGCATGTTAAACGGTGCAATGACTCGTGCAACTTGTCTCGCAACGCCATTGCGAGACAAGTTGCATGAAAAATTGCACCGTGTAACAGGGCCTTTAAGAATACAGTCTGTCTAACATGTCTTTCTTTAATTTATTCTTAAAACTTCTCAAAGATGGCATTTGTTTCGTGTTATTGTCCAGATCATTCCATAGTTTCGCCCCTCTATAATGAAATGTTCTCTGGCCAGTGGTGGTATTATAAATCGGTATTTGGAGAAGCTCTCGGTTACGAGTGTTACATTCATGTATATTTGATCGTTTACTAAATTTATTGCACAAGTAAGATGGGGCTAGATTGTTAATACACTTGTACATCAAAACTGTATCTCTAAAAAGTAAGTGTTCCTTAACTGGAAGCCAATTCAGTTCTTGCAGTTTTGGTGAGATATGATCGAACTTCTAGCTTGTTAATATTTTTGGCCGAAGTGTTCGACCAAGCAGAGGAGCAATAAAGGAGTTTATTCATTACCAATGCTGATACCAAGAGCGATATAGTTTCTTTATCAAAACATTTGCTTACTCGGTTGATCTGTAACAATTTGGACATGCAAGAGGAGACTAATTCGGTGATATGGCAATCGTATGACATGTTGATGTCCCTTATTAATCCTAAATCCTTGGCTGAAGGAACTGGCCTGATAGTTTCACCTAGAAAATTTAGGCACATATCTGTAGGGAGATTTTGTAACTGTTGTCGCGTTCCGATAAGTAAATACTTGGTTTTCTCCGGGTTAATAAGTAGATGAAGTTCAGAGCAGCACTTTGCTACTCGGCTGAGATCTTCCTGAAGGTACTCTTTTACTTTGAATCAACAACATATGAATTAAGGGAGCTGTGACGTGGGGCCAGTGGTAACTCGTTTACATAGATGCTAAACAAGAGTGGAGATAAAATAGCACCCTGTGGAACCCCGTGAGTGATGTTAAGAGATGACGAAACAGACGTTCCAATACGGACAAATTGTGATCTGCCCGTTAAGTAGCTTTCGAACCACTTCACTACCTCAGGAGATGCGCCAATGTGTCTTATCTTGTTAAGCAATGTTGGGTGATGTACGCTATCAAATGCCTTCGATAAATCTAATAGTATAAGTGCAGTTACAGATTTCTGGTGATCTGGTCCATAGCTTCCAATATGATATCAACCAAAACGTTCAAAGTTTCCGAGGAATGATATCTTCTGTTACCGCTTTGATGCGATGTCAGACATTCATTATGGAACAAAAATGTTGTAAATTGGCATAAAACGACCTTCTCGCAAATTTTTGACACGACTATAAGTAAAGAAAGGGGGACGATTGTTGGATGGTAGTTCATGATCACCCTCCTTTATTAGTGGAATAACTTCTGCCTCCTTCCAAGATTGTGGGAACTCAGAAGACGTCAGTGAAGCATTAATAATATCTGTTAATGGTCCGAGGATGACTGGTAAGCAGTCCTTAATAATGCCTGGAGCCTTGTTGGTGGGCATGGACATTATAATATTTTTAACTTCAGAACAGGAGACAGGTTCAAAATTAAACATCTCAGATTCGTATACAGGGTAATTTCTATTAAACGCTGTAGTGGGTGGAGTATCAGGGTAAATATTATAATCCTGTAATAATTGAGATGCTGCGATGGCTGTGTTCTCCCCAACAGAAGAAAAAAAGTGGTTGAACTCTTCAGCAACTATCTTTGGGTCTTTGCTATAGACGACCGTCTCTTTCTTTGTAAGCTACATTATCTTTGATAATTTTCCATAAGGAACCCGTGTTGTTTTTATGCTTCATCACTTCATTGTAGACATGATTTCTTTGTGCTTTAATGAGTTCGGTCTTAACAGCGTTACGAGCTGCTTTGAAGTTGCACCAATCGCTGTGGTTTCGTGTCTTAAGAAAAAGGCCGTGTAGTCGTTCTCTCTTGCCCATCAGTTCTTTTATTTCAGGTGTCACAAAAGGGCACGGTCTGTCTCTGACTTTTAGGGTCTTTATTGGGGCATGAGAATCGAGGGTGGTCTGAAGTACGTCATCGAAAATTTTGAGTTTTTCATTAATATCATTGACTGAAAAGACGGAAAGAAGGCGTTCAGATTTAGATGCGAGATCAGCGGCAAATAATTCGGGGTCGTAGTTCCTATAGCTGCGAACTGTAATGTGCGTGGGTGGTGGTTTGGTAGACTTTAGCTTAAGCGTAACATACACGGGCAGGTGATCACTGACAGTGCAGTTTAGGACACCACTGTCACGTGCGGTATTAGAACTGACCAAAATCACGTCAATCAAAGTTTGGCTAATGTCTGTGATGCGGGTTGGAGATTCGATAATTTGTTTGAGATTGAGTTCTGACGTCATTTCGGTTAATGATTTACATTCTCGACTTGTTGTTATGATCGGTTTTCGCATACTGAGAGCATGGACCTACTAAGGTTTGAGAGAATTTTCGAAACAGTCAAGTGGACAATCTGGAGGACGATAACAGACACAGGTCAGTAAGGACTTAGTTTTCTTATACTGCAAATTAATCCATAATTGGTGGAAGCTTGTGTCAGAGATCTGAGTAAGTTCTTTGATTACCGATGACTTCATGTTTTTATGAACGTATGCACAAACACCGCCGCCTTTCTTATACAATCGATCCGATCATGCAGGCGATGTAATTTGTAACCATCGATTTCTAATTTCTTATTTGTTACCGTAGTGTTCAACCATGTCTCGGAGATTTGCTCCAAGTCTCTCTTCATTGTCATATAGTATCGATCCGCTATAGTGTACATTACATGACGTGGCACGGAGAGGCGGAGCGAGAAAGAGAGACTTGTCAACTTCGGAAAACCTCGGTTCAAAATCTCGGTTCAAATCTCCGAGACATGGTTGAACACTACGGTAACAAATAAGAAATTAGAAATCGATGGTTACAAATTACATCGCCTGGATCGGATCGATTGTATAAGAAAGGCGGCGGTGTTTGTGCATACGTTCATAAAAACATGAAGTCATCGGTAATCAAAGAACTTACTCAGATCTCTGACACAAGCTTCCACCAATTATGGATTAATTTGCAGTATAAGAAAACTAAGTCCTTACTGACCTGTGTCTGTTATCGTCCTCCAGATTGTCCACTTGACTGTTTCGAAAATTCTCTCAAACCTCAGTAGGTCCATGCTTTCAGTATTTTCTCTTCAAAAATCCGCTACAAAATCCGGGGAAAATCCGCTAAAAAATCCGCGGATTTTTAAAAATCCGAAAATCCCGTACGCTTTTTTGGAGTGAAATGCCCCTCGTTTTGCACCATATTAGATATAATATTCATTCCAATTTTCAAATGTTATCCTGTCATTCTGTTTTACTGCATGTACATTATATCAAACTTGACAGGATAACTTGAATAAACTGCCTATATATATGATTGAACTACAACGTTTACGTCTTACTATAGTACATTCAGTCAATTCAAATTATCCAATCAATTACAGTGAAAATACAAAAAGTGTCCCACTTCCGCTTCTGTAGTTTGTTGTGATTTACTGTAATTTGTTCTGTTTTTCTGTAGCGATTACTGATTTATCGGCAAATACCGCGATAAAACTTAGTTTTTTCTATTTTTAAATATGATAATTTGTAGCAAAGGGAAATAATACATTTTTCGTTAGTTTCATTGCATAAAAGGAACGAAATTTAAATTTTATCGCAGTATTTGCCGATAAATCGG